GGGGGGCAGGGGTATCTAGAGCCTACCTGTCTCTCTGCTTCCTCTGCTCTCTCCCCGGCTGCAGCTGCTTCCCCTCGCTGGGCTCTGTGTGAGAGGAGTAAACAGGAAGTGGTGTCACTTCCTGTCCCGCCTCTCCCATCACACAGAGCACCGCGGGACTGGAAGCAGGAGACCTGGCAGAGAGCTAGTAAAGCTGCCAGGTCTCATGGGAGGGAGGAGGGGGGGGATTTAGACAGCGGTAGGTTGTGGGGCCCCGCGCTGCCTCAGGGGCCCCACAACCTATCAATTAAATAATTTTATTTATTTTTTTCGTTCCAGTTGGAGAGATCTCTGATCTGATCTCTCCAGCTGGAGCATGGCTGTTCTGCCGGGCCCCTGACTGCCTCGGGCCCTCGGTCCATGACCGAAGTGCCCGAGTGGTCAGTCCGCCCCTGCAAAGGACACAATGTTATGCGTTTAGACTGGAAGAAAGAAGATTTCGTCTAAGGCAAAGGAAAGGGTTTTTTTTACAGTAAGAACAATAAGGATATGGAATTATCTGCCTAAAATTTTTTTTATTAGAGTCTATACATATGTTCAAACAGCAACAAGATGCATACTTGCAAAAACAGAATATTCAAAAATATAATTTTTCAATGTAATAGCTTCTTGATCCAAGGATAAATCTGACTGCCATTCTGGGGTCAAGAAGGAATTTTTTCCCCCTAGTTTGTTGCAAAATTGGAAGTGCTTCAAACTGTTTTTTTGCCTTCTATTGGATCAACAGCAAAAAACAAATGTGAGTAAGGATTTTTTTTGTTAAATGCAAGCTGTTGTGACACCAGTGAGTGAGTGATGACACTGGGCAGGCCCTGAAACACACTTTCATGAAGGAAACTGACTGCTATTATATTACAGTCAAAAAAGTTTTTGTTTTTTTTAAATGCAAGCTATTGGGACAGCAGTAAGTGAGTGGTGGCACTGGGCAGGCCCTGAAACGCACACTCATGAAGGAAACTGACTGCTATTATATTACAGTCCAAAAAGTTTTTTTGTTTTTTTTAAATGCAAGCTATTGGGACACCAGTGAGTGAGTGGTGGCACTGGGCAGGCCCTGAAACGCACACTCATGAAGGAAACTGACTGCTATTATATTACAGTCCAAAACGTTTTGGGTTTTTTAAATGCAAGCTATTGGGACACCGGTGAGTGAGTGGTGGCACTGGGCAGGCCCTGAATCGCACACTCGTGAAGGAAATTGACTGCTATTATATTACAGTCAAAAAAGTTTTGTTTTTTTTAAATTCAAGCTATTGGGACACCAGTGAGTGAGTGGTGGCACTGGGCAGGCCCTGAAACGCACACTCGTGAAGGAAACTGACTGCTATTATATTACAGTCATAAAAGTTTTGTTTTTTTTAAATGCAAGCTATTGTGACACCAGTGAGTGAGTGGTGGCACTGGGCAAGTGGGCACAGTATATGCTGTGAGCCTGACACACAGGCTGGCAGGCAGGCAACTGCAATTACATTACACAGAAAACAAAAAGACTGATGTTCTAGCCCTAAAAAGGGCTTTTTGGGGTGCTGTCCTTATATCAGAGATCAGATGAGTCCTTCAGGACTGTAGTGGACACTGAATACACTAGCCTAGCTATCAATTTCCCTATCAAATCATCAGCAGCTACACTGTCCCTCCTCTCACTAAGAATGCAGCTTCACAATGAATGTAAAATGGATGCTGTCCAGGAGGTGGGAGGGTCTGCTGCTGATTGGCTGGAATGTGTCTGCTGACTGTGAGGTACAGGGTCAGAGTTTACTCAATGATGACGAATAGGGGGCGGACCGAACAGCGCATATGTTCGCCATCCGTGGCGAACGCGAACAAGCAATGTTCGCCAGGAACTATTTGCCAGCGAACCGTTCGGGACATCCCTACTTCTTAACAAAAAAAGTGAATTAAAGCTGTCACTCTACACTGACGATACAATTGTGTACTTAACAAATTCCTCAATCTCCCTACCAACCGTTATGTCAGAAATAGATTTATATAGTGCAGTCTCAAACTATAAATTAAATAAAACCAAATCAAATGCGCTATATATTAACATATCTAAAAAAAAAGATATGGATATCTATCAAGAAACTTGGTTTTATAAATGCAAAAACATTTATATATTTGGGAATAAAAATCCCTAAGAATATAAATAGTATTATGCGATTACTCTCTAAAGAGCTCGTAAAAGAAACTAAGAAAAAACGAAAAGAATAGAGGAAATTAGAAATATCCTGGGGAGGAAGAATAAACATTTTGAAATGGATATACTTGTTTAGGAAGCTCCCTCTAGTTATCCTGACGGTATATTAACAATGGTAAATGGTTCCTTTTCAAACTATGAGGGGCAAGTGAAAAACCCAGGATAAAAAGCTCATTGTTATCTAGAGGAATACAAAATGGGGGACTTGGATATTCAAATATAATAAAATATTATGAGGCTGGTATAATTCTGCATGTAATGACATGTCCACTGGCGTACATACCGCGGTTGCAGGGATCGCGGCTGCAACCGGGCCCAGGCCTCCAGGGGGCCTGGCCGTCCTGTGACCTGGTATGCACCCCAGTGTAGCCACATTTTACCAGCCTCTTCTCCTGGGGGACCCAGGAGCTGGCCACCTCAGGGACCCCGGAGGCTTGCAATGGCATCTCTTTGAGGGCGGCCGGTCCTGCGGGCGCACGAGGGAGCACTCTCCCCTGAGCATTCTCACCCGAGCTCCCTTGCGGGCACCGCACTGATACCGGAGCCGGAATATGACGTCATATTCCGGCTCCGACATCAGTAAGCGGCACGCGCGAGGGAGCTGGGCAGAGAGCGCTCATGGGAGAGTGCTCCCTCGCGCACCCGCAGTACCACCTAGCAGCCCCACTGGACCCCAGGGACAGCAGGAATCCCCTCAGCACTCCTAAAGGTAGGGAGGCTGGGATTAAATAAAAAAAATGTGTATATGTGTGTTAGTGTGTGTTACTGTGTGTGTGCCTGTTAATAAGTGTGTTAGTTTGTGTGTGTCAGTGAGTGTGTTACTGTGTGTGTTAGTTTGTGCGTGTCAGTGAGTGTGTTACTGTGTGTGTTAGTTTGTGCGTGTCAGTGAGTGTGTTACTGTGTGTGTTAGTTTGTGTGTGTCTGCTAGTGAGTGTCAGTAAGTGTGTTAGTGAGTGTCAGTAAGTGTGTTAGTGAGTGTTACTGTGTGTGTGTGTGTCACTGAGTGTGTTTGTGTGTCTGTTATTGAGTGTGTGTCTGCTAGTGAGTGTCAGTGTTTGTGTTTGTGTTACTGTGTGTGTCTGTTACTGAGTGTGTTAGTTTATGTGTGTCTGTGAGTGTGTGTTTGTCAGTGAGAGTGTATGTTTTGTGAGTGTGCGTCTGTCAGGAAATGTCTGTGTCTGTTAGCTAGTGTGTCAGTAAATGTATGTATCTGTTCGTGAGCATGTGTGTAGTTAAAACCCCTTTCAGCACTTACCTTTTTCCAGCGCCAGGCTCCCTTGGTGCTAGGGATCTCTCTGCCTCGATACGCCTCTCAGCTCCGATTGCGCATGCGCTGCAAGAGCCGCGTGCGCATTCAAACCGCCCATAGGAAAGCATTGCTCAATGCTTTTCTATGCATGTCCAGCGGAATTGCGTAAGTGCCTCTAGCAGCTGTCAGTGAGACAGCAACTAGAGGCTGGATTAACCCTCAGTGAAACATAGCAGTTTCTCTGAAACTGCTATGTTTTCAGCTGCAGGGTTAAAACTAGAGGGACCTGGCATCCAGACCACTTAATTGAGCTGAAGTGATCTGAGTGCCTATAGTGGTCCTTTAAGTGTATGTGTATCTGCATGCACTGGAGGCCCACCGCGTGTAGCAGCACCGGCCCGCGCAGAGTAAGCGCCGGGGGGGAGGGTAGACCACGGGTCAATTTTCGCACCGGGGCACCAGGAATCATGTGTACGCCACTGGACATGTCAGTTAGAGCAAAATAAAATAGAAGCATGGTTAAATATAGAATTGCAAGCCAGTCAACTGAAGGACCCAGTTGATTTAATATGGAACATAAAAATGCAATTTATCCAACTCTTACATTTTGAACCAAATTATAACAATATGGCATAAAATTAATAAGAAAATGGATTTGGAAAACAAAATCTTCAACTTTCAAAGTTTTAACTCATTAGAAACAATTATGACGAACATTTCCTTAATTACATGGAAAGCCAAACATGTAAAAACAATTAAAGATGTAGTTCAAGATAATAAAATAATATATTTTAATATGTTGGCAGAGGAGTTTCACTTGACAGGCAAGGATATTTTCACTTATATCAGGGTTCAACATTTCATGGAATAAGTCATATTGGTATCAGAAGGAAATCTGTATAAAATAATAACAACAATACTACAGC